TTGGTACAAGATTATAACTAAACGTCAAAATTTGTTTCTCTTTCTGTCAGCACCGAAAAAAGAAATCAAAAATTTTATAACTTGGTTAACGGGAAACTACTCCCTAAAACATTTTCGTATCGTACAGAACCAAAAAAGGGTATTTCCATGCCGGGATACCCATTTGGAATCTCTGAGTAACAAATACAGATACCCTCCTTTTTTTGGTTCTGTGGAATTAGAAATACCCCTAACCGTATTTTACAATGCCATTTTGGTATTTCAGTGTACCGTTTTTAGTTTTGTAAGATTTCTTTGAGAGTATTTTTAACATGAAAATACCCTTTTTTGGTTCTGTTCGATACGGAAATGTTCTAGAGAGTCGTCGTAGAGACTTCACGGGGAGCTCAGAGAATTATCTGTTCTACAAAACCGAAGTCATCCTATAATAACATTGAACTTTTTCGGTAAAAAAAGAAAGAGAGAATTACTCTTAAAAACGGTACAATCATTGCATTAGTATATTTGTGATGGAAATGATCATCCTATACAAAAAATGGTTACCGAGTGCAGCGGTACGATAATATTAAGTTTTGACCAAGGTTGGGCCAGTATCTGTTGCATTTGATCTAAGTGGTGGTACTCTAATACATATAAGTGATGAATTTGAGGATAAAATATCAAAATATTTTACCAGATTCACAACTAGTAAAGGTGTTAGCCGTGCAACTGTCGCCGCCGCCGCCACTAAAACTTTCAGTTTGACACGTCGCCGTCAATAAAGTAATCGGCTAACACCTCTAACAACATAGGCGTATAATTGCTGGCGGTAATGGCCGAGCTTATGCATTTTAAGTCAATTTTTCTGGCCATATGGAATCAAATTTGATTTAAATATGAGTTTATATGTTGCTGATAAATTTAATCAGAGTTTTAAAGTTTTTCTTCAAAGAAACATCATCTTAAATTAAGAATGGGTGACGTCGACAATGCGATAAAGAAGAAACATGTACTACAAACTTTTAAACTTGACTGGCTAACCAAAGTTAAGCAAATATATGACCACTTTCAATATAAGTAAACAGAAGAACAACATTTCGTTTTATCGGAATAGTTGTAATATAGGATTTTGTCTTATAACCCACCTTTTCCTGTTGTGTTCATATGGTCAATTGGTTGTGACATGTAAGTGTGCAGTGGCCTATAGTTTGAGCCGAATGAAATGGACTGAGAGGTTGTGCTGGAAAAAGTAAGCCTCAGTCAGAGACTACAAGTACGATTTTGATATATCAAAAGCGGTCTGCTGTTTTGTGAGGGATTCATTTCTTAGAACTTTTTTGTTTTTTCTAGCCATTTGTGTACCGAATACAAAACATTGTACGTTTTTATTGCGACTAATGTTATTGTTTTCGCGATCACAATAAATACGTTTAGTCACTTTATTTTAAATAAGAAAGAAGTATAAGATATTGAAAAACAGAAGTAAACTTGGTAGAAAAGATAAGAATATATGAGCTCATTTGTCAGTCATACTGTACCATTTCAGTCATGGCACTATTTCCAACCATCGGCGAGTCTATCATCCATCTCAACAAGCAACAGGTCCACAACCATCTCCCAAATAACTGCCATCCTCACGGCGATCAGTTCGAAGAGCATCAAGAAGAGTGCGCAAGAATTGATTGGTTCGTTCAAATCTATCAGGTCCGTTGTCTCGTACCATTGGGTAACCAAGTACAAAAGTACATGATACAGCTACAATAAGTAAGGCAATAATTAAAGGACGGAATTGTTCCATGGCTTCAATCGAGAGGATTATTTAAATGTCAAACAGCGCAGGAGTATGAAGATAGTGTAGTAAGACGAAGAATTATGAGAATGAGTTAAGATATTTCTTGGATATAGAAATGTATGCTAGGAAGCGCTTATTGAAGTGGAAAATTTTCGATTTCAGTCAGCAAAAGAGAGAATACAGTAGTCCTTGATTCGACTGTTAGATTGAGTTAAGATATGGCTTTTCTCTACTAAATAACATGACATATATTTCATTTACACATGAGCTATATTTTATTTAGTTGCGACATGATAAATAACAGCTTGTTTCTAATGGTGAACAGGCGTTGGTCATCCTTGAATTACTTTGTTTGCATAGTGCGTGCGTCTCGTTTGAGAGCCAAATTATAAAAATGATGAATATTAATTGCGTAAATAAGAAATTTCAAAGTATTGATTGATAGAAAGAGAAGAAGTATTGTAAATGAAGGAGATAAAACACCTGCTTCCTTTATCTGGTTGAAATCAAATAGTAAATGAAACATTTGTCATGTTATTTAGTAGAGAAAAGCCATATCTTAACTCAATCTAACAGTCGAATCAAGGACTACTGTATCCTCTCTTTTCCTGACTGAAATCGAAAATTTTTCACCTCAATAAGCGCTTTCTAGCATACATTTCTATATCCAAGAAATATCTTAAGTCATTCTCATAATTCTTCGTCTTACTACACTGTCTTCATACTCATGCGCTGTTTGACATTTAATTAATTCTTACCGTACGTAAATCATTAAAGTTACATTTTGTTAAATTCGATAAATCTTGTATTTGTTACAATGTCCTATTTCTTTTCCTGTTTCTTATATAGTGTGTACGGTTCAATTCTTTCTATTTTTACTTCTGTTGACACTATATTATAGTAAATTCCGATTTCCACTATAGTGCACATTAGAGTAATCTGTATGATTTTTGTTTCTAGTGGAATTCAGAATTCCCTGCGTAATTTCCACTGTCACATATAGAAATGGAAGCATTCCATTTGTATATATACAGATTGTATGTATAGATATATGGGAGTGAGTTGCATTGGCATTATACCGTTCCAAATTTTCGTAAAGCTCGCTTTTCGGAAGACTTTTAGGACTTTTTCTAGAAACAAATATTAACACAAGACTCAGCATGATGGATCACTCCAAGAAACCTCGAAATATAGGTAATCGATCATGCTGAGTCGGATGGTAATGTTTATTTTCAGTTTCGAAGCGATTTAAATCATTAAATCAAATATTTCTGAAGTTCTTATATTCGGACGTTATGTCGCGCTATGCGGCGTATTGAGTTGATATTTCAAAAAAGTTTAATCTAGCGAATTAATTCGCTTCAAAACTGAGAATAAACATCACCACTCGACTGAGCATGATCGATTACCTATATTTCGATGTTTTTTGAAGTGATCCAAGGTCAGCTGGTCGAAATCGGGACTCTCAGGAAACTACTTATAGTTCCTGAACAGCACAAGCTAAAGAGCTGGGTCTTGTGTACATCAATAGCGAACAATTTTCTCTATCGAATGGTTGTTTTAGAATTTCAAATCCAACGGGGAATCTTTTCTCCAGACAGTGTCCAATATGTCAAGCGAAAACTCACCTGATTGGTCGATTGTTGACCAACCAGGTTTCGATATTTCTTAATAAAGAATATTATTCTCTTTCGAATGTTCAAAAACCACAGATCTCTAGCTGCTTCCTATATGGAGGTATTCAACTTACAACCGACTCCATTGTTCATTGAAATGGATAGTAATGTGTATGTAATTATCTGCTCTACCATTGTGGTGAATATGGACTTTTTTCAGGTAAAATTGTATCAGAAATGGTGAAATTACGAAGAAAATTTCGTGCACTGACTGTTTTTTACCTGACAGTACTCTTATTCAACTTTATTTAAGTTAGATTGTACAGCTAATAATAAAATGCAGATTTGTTCCATTCTGCACCTATGAAAGGAGTCGAAAACTTCACTGTATCGTTTTTTAGAAAAAGATAAAAAATAAAAAAAGTAAGATGATTGATGAACTTGTTTGTCTTATTATCTGTAGATATTAGCTTTTCATTTTTGACCAATTAAGCAATAAAGAGAAAAAACCACGATATTCACCTATATCTACGCGTCAATAGAAATGAACAAAGTTATCTGTGCGTGGGCGCGTGGAATACAGTCACGTTCAGCGTGTTCAATCATTTTTGATAGCTTCTCCTACTTGAAAAAAATAATAGCTTATTATTATTTACGCTTCTTATTATTAGTTTCAGTTTTAGGAATACGATATTGTCTTTTTCTTATAAAGTTGTACAGCAATCTGATTCATTTGATGTGGATGTTAATTCATGTTTGTTCATATCAATATGTACACTCTTTGTCATTTCTTGATTCATAGGTTGTAGTTTAATGAGAACAACATTACCATTTAAATCAACAGCCCATTCTTCATTTATCAGAATAGTTGGATTTTCATTTGTTAATTGTCCTTCTTTATTTAAACTTAAACTTTTATAACTTAAATATAAGCTTGTTTCACCTAGTTGTTTTGGACGTACAAATTTCATTGTAACATAACCATTAAAACCTAATGCCATATCAGTCCAAGCATTATTCCCTTCGACATTAAATAAACGATCATCATAAAATAATAATTTTGTTTCGCGAGCTTTGATCGGAAGTTCTGTTGCTAACGTCGGGAAACCAGAATTGCCAATACATCGTCCATATAACGTTAGTTTTTTACCTGAATTTGTCACCGGTTCAATTGTTTGTTTTTCATAAAAACTCAAGCGATGTTCATGACCCCATAAATAAAGAACTGTCTGTCCCTCTGGTAACAATGATGCTATTTGTTCAGGAAAATCTAAATATACCAGAAAACTTTTCATTAGAAACATAATATTCACAGATGAACTTCCAAGTCCGTCTGTTGTGAAAAGAAAAGAAATTATATAAAAGATAAGAAGTTTAACATTTGTTTCTGTTCAAAAAATATTCAATCAAATCTTTAGTTTTTTACTCCAGACTCGTTAAGGCATAAACCGCGGCTGAGTGCTGCTGTGCATAATCAAAGTATCTATTGCTAGAGGAAAATTTGCCCATACTTTTGCTGCACACACGTCAAATGTTTTTCGCAGTCACTTAGCTGACAGTTAGATACAGTTCAATTGACACTGTCACATTTCATGGAACATCCGTGAGGTCCTCCTATGAGAAGCCTATCTGACAGGGAGTATACGTCCGATTTGAACAAAGCTTTTAGGAAATGTTGGTCATGTCAAAGTATGTTGACGAAATGTTTTTTGACTTTATGTATCCCATGCAAAAACGACCAAACTTGTTGGGCCACTTATTTAGATTCAGCTTCACGTAAATTCAGATGCATCTACACCTAAATCTAGATAAATGACCTAAAAAATGGGCCGATTTTGCATGGAATCACCGTACGTAATGTAACGATACAACAGCAGCTAAAAAGGAGCTGCTCATATTTACAGAATTGTTCATCAAAATTACGCGATGGAGAGCTCGAATCGGTCTTCGATACGTGTGATTGGAGGTGTATAGAGTCCGACTTTTCATACTTTGCTTTTTTGAACGATGAGTCTTGAAAAGCAAAAAACAAGTTAAAAGTGCTGCTTAATATCTCAAGAAAAATAGCTTATCTCGAAAAAGCTAGATGGAAATTCAAAAACTGGACTGTATTAGCTTCTAGCCACACGTATTTGCTTCAGTTGAAGACCAACGTTGGCCCACTTCCACTTAAACTGACAGACAATTATGTAACGAAATGCTATAAAACTGCTATAAAAAATTAAAAAGAGCCATACGAGTTGGGTCACTTTCTGTCTATACGGAAATACCACCAATAAATGTAATGGGATTTATGGATTCCGGAACGATGCGCACGAGCAATGTTGTACCCGGATTCTTGCGCTCGGATTCATGCACACGAAGGAGCTTGTTAGTGGAATACTGCGCACGGGTACCTTATGCACGAGGAATTTTCCGCACCAGAATCTTACGCACCAGGTTGTTACGCACGGGTGTTTGTGCACCTATCACATAATGAGACAGAAAATCAAACTGATGATGTTGTGTAATCAGAGCGTTATTTTTAATCTAAAGGTTTTAAAGAACATAAATAATTATCGTGAATAAACTAACTAAACGATGATGGTTCATAGACAATATAGTACCATAAATATAGTTCTGTGCAATACAGTGCTACACTGCTATACGATTTCGATATTTTCTCTACTATGACCTCTCAACGTGAAATGAGTATAACTAAGAAAGGGTAATTTCACCAGAAATCTCCCGCATATGTAAAATGTTCTTGAAACTCGATCAAACGTTCAGCGTTTATTCAACTATGTTTCGTGACTATTGAAATATATTTGCTTTTTCGAAAAAGTTATACCCTTGGGCGGTGGAGGTGGCACAGTGGGCATTTTTTGCTAGAGCAAGCGGACTTTAGCTTTATGAGCGAACTAAAATTTCTTGAACCATTTTTTTATAGGTTTTTCATGATCCTCTTTCTAATGGCATAAGAGTTGGGTTTTGAA